ATTAATCTCAAATCAACTCCGATTAGTGTTGTGGGATGCTCTCTTTAAATTCGTCGGAAGATTTGCGGAGAGGAAATACATGATCACTGAGATATCCTGTACAAAATATAAGTCCGATTCGATGAGCAGTATCTATTACATCAGTTTGTAATTCCATTCCTAGAAACGGCAGATACGTTTATATACCAAATGAAGTAACTGTATATGAGAGCGTGTAGCGTAAGTAAAACGCGGGAACGCATTCGCACAGAGGCGATCTGGTTTCTGGTTGTTTCGTTTTCGCTTGACCCCTGTCTGTATGCACGAGCGCAAATCAGAGGCAGGAAACGATGACGCAGTCATGAATAACGAGTACACGAGAGGAACCGGAAATCGTTCGCAACGACAAATCCTATGGGAGCATTAATGTTACTGATGCACATTTTCGAAAGTAATCGGAAGAAGCAAGCGTGAGAAACAAGCGGGAAAGCTATGATTTCGCATACATTTCGCTAATTGACATAAAAAGATATGTTGACTACTGGTAATTAAGATAATATATATTGATAAATTGAAATAATATGTATCATTTTTGAAAAGTACGTATCTCTAAGAAAATGCTTAGCGCGAGATATTATAATTATAAAAACTCTTAAAACTTTATCAAGCTCTAAATGAAAAAGCAACACTATTATAAATTATATATAATATAAAATAAAAATAGATAAATATAAATGCATTTCAAAATAATTTAACGAGACACATGTTTAAACAATTGTCCCTTTTCACTGAGAATAAAAAAAACTTTGACAAGACAAAATTAGAAAATATTAGATTATTACAATGTCATTTGCAAAAGTGTCAAATTGAAAAACTTGATTAGCAAATTGATTAGACTTATCAAAGAAAAAAATTTACATAAATCAGCGAGACAAGTAAAACAAAAAACTATGACAAATTGAATTAAATGAAAGATCTCTCACTATGCAATTGTCCGAAGCGCTGCTGCGAAAATTCCGTATTTCCTGCAGACTTCCCCAAGGTCGAGGCTTGTCAGACTTGCCAGAATATGAATGACAGTAAGGTTGCCGGGCGTACTCCATGCTGGAATTTATGTCCTCCAAACTATGCACTAGTGATTTTGTGACCTGGCCACAGTACACTTTTGGACTGAGCTTGTTCGTAGTGTCCATGAGACGCTTTAATCCCTCCGACGACGCTACTTTAGACGATTCCGCAGCGTCCTCGATACCGTCGAGCAACGCTGTAGTACAAACGGACGCGAGAGATCCAACGGACGTACTGGCCAACATGGTACGTGCCGTCGCAGCAGGGGCAGATGTTCCGGCGCAGGTGGTGGTCGTACCTTCCCCACTCCCCGCCACGTGCCGCATCTCTGTGAAAAGCGCATTTCGTAGTTCCCCACCATTGCCACTGCTACATTCGCGCTTGTTAAACCCAAAGTTAAATGAATTCTGCCCCAATTGTATCCTCTTTCAGATAGATATATTTGCAGAAGAAAGAAAAACGAGATCCTAAAATTATACGCTACTTTTGCAGCATCACGTTTCGGAGTATCAAATCGTCGAATTACCTTTAGAAGGGTCGAATTTTAGTTCTTCGCTCCACAATCTGGCCTCCGAGGTCGCGCGAACTGTCAATCGGTGTCCCGCAGCCTCACTGACAGGTTCTTTAGATAATCGCGCGCTTATATTCTGCAAATAAATTTCCATGAAAGCCGGAACGATGGAATATTTTATATTACAGAATGGGCAGTGTAAATGGCAAAGCGCTTTTAATGTTTCATACATTCAATTAATTTAAGATATGTATAAAAAAAATATTTTTTAATTATTAAAAGTGTCTCTAACGAGTGCTTAGAATGTCAAGATGTATGTTTCAGAATGTGCTAAATTTACGTTCAAATCATAAGTTTGAAAAAAAAATTGTGTTCACATATTTCTGCCTCTTCCAATTTAGCCTAATAATTTAAAGACCTCATCGTATTGATAAAAAAAGTAACATATATCTCAAAATTAGCAACTTTTCAGCAGAGCATTTTTAATATTCTGGATTAGAACGTTCTAATTGAGACAGTAAAAATACAATTTTACTTTCTTTCCATGTTCAATATTTTTATACTTTTAATATTTAATTATATGTATTCTTTAAACGTCATAAATTTGCAAAATTCAAACATTGCAACTTTAATTGTTTACTTATGTCACTTTTCTATCAACGCCATTTTTAGAGTCGTTCAGGTCGCGAAAAATAAATGTACAAGTTCTAGATACAAAATTTATAAAATAGTATAGATAGAATTTAAATAGAATCTAAATTCAGAAAGTACCCTATATTGCATATTGGAGTATTGCCTTCTTCGTTCGCAATCATTCGCCAGATTTTTACTCGAGCAGCTGCCGTAATCATCCTTAAAACCAATTCCAGAATCACTGTTGCTCGAATGAGCAGTCGATGTGCTAATGTTGCTCGGTTGAGGAGAAGCGGTATCCAAGCGTATGCGCGCTTCGTTGTAAGGATTTGTGCAATTCTCCCCATTCGTGCAATCGGATATATACAATGTCTGTATGGCACCGATAAGGCTCGTACAACTGTCGGGAAATTCTTGGCAGACGTTTAGCTCTGATGATTTTGTACACATAAATCCAAACACATTACATGCACTGGAATGCACTTCGTGGTCGATTAACTTGTAATAAATAGTAAAAACGTGACACGAGTTTGATACGATATCATCTGTGTTCCTCATGGATTTGGTTAATATACCAAAATACTGCTTATCTTGCTCGGAAAAGGAGTTACAGAATATTATTCGATACGAAGGGTATTCAGCGATAACGCGATTTTCCGAATTTGTAAGTTTAATGTTGGCAACGTGAATGGTGAGAAGAACGGTAGTTGGATTTCGCTTCTCGGCTTTCAGTCTTTTAATGCATTTTCTCAAAACCTGCAACAAGAAGAACAAACAAAGGTTTATGTTGTACTTTTTATATTATTTCTATATTACGTATATTCTACAAAATAAATATCAGCAATATGCTTACTATATTAATTTGACAATTAAACTATTTTTTTTAATTTACAACCAATCAAGTATTAACCCTATTAATCTATTTAGGTCTATTTGACCAAAAATGTAATTTATTTTCTTACTAATTTAAAAAAAAACTTTTATCTGGTATTTAATCATTTTGTTAATATAAAATTATTTTTTGTAAAAATATCTTTATTTCTTTTTACTGATATTGACTCAAACAATACGATTGTATGAAAAATTCGCGCAGACCAGCAGGGTTAGTCAACAAATTATTATAAATCTATTCTAAGTGTATCAGAAATGTATGTACCTGCATCATAGAGGACGGATGTAACTGATTTGGTATATCAATAGTACCGAGATAACCAACAACTGTTCTATGCACAATCTTTTCAGAGTCACGCTTGTGAGACGCTGGTGGTGGTGGCAGCGGGAGTGGACTTGTCATATTCCAGCGATAGTGCAAGCCAGAATAATTATATAGATCTTTAGCGTCAGACGTTGCTAGGCCACCTGGAATTGTATGAAACATCGCGCCACTCTGCAAATCCCTGACCACCTTCGCCGCCCTGCATTGCAACTGCAAAGCACTCGCATTAGCAGTCCGTGGCTTGTGCGCGTACTTGGGCTTGGATCTTACGGTGGCCAAGCCCTCCTCGTCTGAGGAGTCGGAGTAGTAATTCTCGGCAATCTGCAGCCGCAGGATACCCTTGGAGCTCCCAATCAGCTGCACCACATCGTCGTGCGGTACCTTGCTGACGTTGTGACCGTTGACGGCGACCAGGTAGTCGCCAGCGCGCAGACCAGCACCTTCCGCTGGGCTGCCCTGCACGATGCAGCTGAGTATACACGGCTGCTGACCTGATATTGTAAAGCCAAAGCCCTTCGCGCCACGGACCACCTCGACCGCCCTTACTCCATAGTTCACCCGCTTCTTCTTCCGCCTGTTCTGATGCATGTCTGCCTACCTGTCGCACGTAGGCCTCGCAACGTCACGAAGGATCCCCGGGAAGGAGCACGTCACGGTGGCTCGCTGACTTCATCATTTGTGACCTCACGCCTGCACAATGATCATCCTCCTCTATGACGTTCCTTTACGATTGCCCTTGTTTATAACTTTGATCATAAACTCCCTAGAAATCTAAAAGCAATTCTTTCTCCTTGAGTGAGAGACCTCCCAGAAGAAACAGCTCCGTAACGACACAACAAACTGTCACTTATGTGGCACTACTCCTGATACTCGGGACCTCGCTGGTACGCCCACTTCTATTCGCGGAAATCATTCGTGGATCATTCGATAGTTTAATCCCGAGTCTTGACGGAAGTGTCGTTCATATCGAGTACCCTGGACGTGTCCGCCACTATTCGCCACTTTGCATCGCTCGTCAGCCGAACCTCGCTAAGCAATCTCTACGAGCGGATGTTTTGGAATGCGTCCATCGAGAAGGCTAGAGAAAGGTAATCGACCTTGTAGCGAATAGCTTAGCCCGAGGTGGCTCGCCGTCGTCATAGCGGCCGATTGGCTGTGGACGAAGAAGTTCTGGACATTTCACGCTTTCCTTACTGGCAGCCAATCGACATTCTTGACACTTTGGGTCTGTTCGTTTCGTCCGCCTTACAGCAATCTGTTCGCACTTTAATAAAATAATAAATAATAAATTAATGCTATTATATATACATAACAAAAATATTAGTCTTATTGATCTTACAATAAATACACCAGTTTTATTATGAAAACGCGGAACAATGTATCAATTTTTCAAAATTATTTTGAGGCAAATTCTAATAAACGACTATAAAAAATACGATCTTATTTTCTCTCCTGAAATTTGGCCAAAAGCCTCCGAGATTCATTTCAAGTACAAATATATTCCCCATTCCTATTTATAATCCTTTTTGAGCTTTCTACCTATTTTATCTTATCTACTTTCTTATCTTATCAAAAAAAAAAGCCACTCTCGATCCGATATTTCGCTGTTTATCGCGATCGGCACATTTATCGTTATCGACTTTCATTTTTTTTCAACGCACTTATAAAGTGTATATATATATATATACCGCTGTTTGCCGGCTGTCTAAAATTTCAGTATCCGTAGAGGCAAAAAATTGATATTCGGCTCAACGACTCGAATTGTCCCGAAGGTGCATCGTTCAGAGCAGCTCAGAGTTCACCGGCAAGTCACCGGCTAACGTATAATCGGCGGCCGATAACGACCTGTTACATAAATCGCTATCAACAGCGAGAGAGGTAAGCACGATTCCAGTACGTTCCACCAGGACCACCGCCCACCGGTTTATCTTTCGTCCGTTCTCTAATTCTATTCCGATCTATTCTTTATTCGTCCCTAAATCAGCTTAAATTGTTGTAAATTGTGCACCGGCGAGCGCGCGTGCTGGACATGTCTCTATGCCTTCTTACTTCGAGTAATGTTTCCTACAATTAAATTTGCAATTAGCTGTGCATGCGCGCGCGAAGAATCCGGTTTACGCGGTTGGGAATGGGAATCGGGGTTGCGAGAAAGCGAGACTCCCGTCACTCGCCCGCGAATCGTCGGATTTACTGCAAACGGTCGATAATACTTTGCAACTTTGCTTAATAAAAGATGGTGCTGCGTCACAGAATTTGCGTCGCAATTCTCTGTTTGGGATGTTTGGGTATTAAACACACCCCGATTCCGCTCGATTTTCCCGTTCGCTACCCTGCAAAAGACATTTGGTAGCGCAATGGATCATGGTGTGATTGTTTGTGCTGAGTTATTTACATCATGGCATGTCAACGTTGTCCTATCAAGTGTCCTTGATTCCTTGTTCTGTCATCTCTTCAATAACATTTAATAGATTAAAGGATTATTTCGTTCATAGGAATCACATCAGTGGTGGGAACACGTTTACTGTCATCCATGGCTAAGACTGTGCAGGATCAATACAAAGATTACAAAGTTATTCCGGACGTGGTGGAAGAGGTACCCACCACGTTCAGTATTCTGAATGTAACTTATCCCATTGATACTAAAGTTGAGATTGGCAAAGAGCTTGCTCCGACTCAGGTCAAGGATCAGCCCCATGTTAAGTGGGAGGCAGATGCAGATGCATTTTATACTTTATGCATGACTGGTTTGTAATGTTTGCAGCTGATTATCATTATAAACTATTATAGAATAAAAACAGTCTGTAACTTTTTAACATTTAAGTATCTTTGTCGCACTTAGTTTGCAAAGTTTAAAAGAGAAATTTGATTTTTTATTTCTTTCTTTAAGTTATAATAACACAGAACCACAAAAAAAATTTTAAAGAGACAAATTAAAGTAGGTGTTTCTTGTAATATTGAATCACTGAATCTGAATTCTTAAGCTGTTTTCATCATATTCAGGTTTTACCTAATCAAGAAAAATGATAGAAAATGTGAAAATTGAAACATTTGAGGAAAGAGCAAAATAAATATGACATTATAATGAATATAAAATACAATAGTTACGCGATCTGTTGGAGTCATGGAAGAGTTTGTCAGCTTCAAAATTGGATATTTTAATTGTTATTTTATCTTCTAAAAATGACAATTAAAAAATATCTATTTTTGAAACTGAAAAAATTTTTCATGACTCATGCAGGTTACCTAGTTGTTTCATTCACAATTTGTTTTATGACATGCTAGGCTATATCTAATATCAGTAAAGCAAAACTTTTGTTTTTTACTCTTTATTTAATGTACTTTGTTTAATGTAAATATATTAAGATTATATATACAGTATTGCAGTATATTGTATACCACATTTAATGTCATATCTACTTTTGTTCTTTCCTCAAATATTTCAACTTTAACAGATTATATTTCTCTCCATTTATCTAAAAAACTATTAAATATAGAATAAAACGAATTTGAATTCAACGACCTAAAATCTATCAGAAACACCTACTCTAGTTTGTTCTCACAAAAAATTTTGTAATTATAGATAATAAAAGCTATTTATATTATTCTAAAAAAATAAGAAAGTTGGTCTGACAAATAACACTACTGCACATTTGAAGTTATGTTTCACTCTGAATTCTTAATATTAATATAATAGTTCATAATTTGACAAGGTACTTTCTGAGCTTTATATATGCTCTATAACATATTTTTTTTTAACAGATCCTGATGCTCCAAGCAGACAGAATCCTACTAAACGTGAATGGCATCACTGGTTAGTAGGCAATATTCCTGGATCAAAAGTGTGTGATGGAGAAACTCTATCTCAATACGTTGGTTCTGGACCTCCGAAGGATTCGGGTCTCCACCGATATGTATTCTTGTTATACAAGCAGCCTGAAAAGCTCACTTTCGACGAGAAGCGTTTGGACAATCGAAGTGATGCCAACCGTGCTCACTTTTCCATTCGTAAATTTGCAGAGAAATATAAACTCGGCGATCCAATTGCCGGTAACATGTTCCAAGCAAAGTATGATGATTATGTAGATATTCTCTACAAGCAACTTGGTTTTTAGTTTTACATGCATCAATAATATATACTCACAATATGATACACATGTATTATAAATATAATAATATGTATGATATATCCAACTGTCTATTGAATAAATACACATAAAATACTTTTCAATTAATGTTTATGTCTATTGTGTGTGTAGTAAGTCTTTTATTTAAAGTTCAACTTATAAATTCAAAATCAAATTCGTCTTAAATTTTTCAGAACGTGCATTATCACCTATAATACTTCGAATTCTTAATATTTTATATAATTCTTTATCATAAAAAATACACATTTTACATAAAACTGAAATAAGAAAATAAAAGTACCAACAAAAATTTAATAGCAATTGAAAGTTTCTATGTCAACGTTAAATGTATTTATATAAAAATTATCTTTAATTTCCCCCCAAAGAAAAATTACATTCAATTTTTTTTTATTGGCGTTATACACATGGTCGAAGACCATGGTTATACATACTGATGATATATGTATAGTATATATCTTCGTACATATTGCATGAATCAACTGAATCAATATTCTATAATTCTACATTGATCTATTTTGATGATATAACAAATTTTCTCAGAAAAAATTTTAATCACGCTCTGTGCATACGTGTAGCAATAAATACCATATACAATATTGGAAAGGCTAGCCAGATTGGCCTTCTAGCACACAAGTTGGTGGGGATACATCTTAAAACGATCCTTCGCTCACTAGTCTTGTTAATATTGCTGTTGCAGCTTGCTGAAAAGTGTCTCTAAAAATGAAATATTTGATAACAGGTTCGTCGGTCACGGTTCTTGTTTTTATTAATTTTACAAAAAAAATCGCAACGTTTATAAGTCATTTTGATATTTAAGTGAATGATATGTGATGTACTTTTTTATATAATTTTTTATGTTCATGTGATAATTTTATTTTATTTTTTTTTCAGGAATTCTTTTGTGTGCTATTAGTTTTTCATTAGGCGATGTAGAATCGGAATTCAAAAAGGCGAAAATCGAACCAGATATTATAGACAAAGCACCAATTGAAAAGATCGAGGTATGTATTTGCACTGACATTTTTATTACGTAGTTAAGATATTAAGTTAATGTATTTCCTACATTTTCTCTCATATTAAGAAAATGATATTTACTAGTAAAACCTTTTTCTAAATATCTTACAGCATAATATATGCACCGTAGATATCTAAAAATAATTTCGTATTACATAGGTAAAATATGGTAAGAAGGTAGTTGATTTGGGAACCGAATTGACGCCGACTGAAGCTCATGAGATACCAGAAATCCACTATAAACACGAAGGAGGAGTTCTGTATACGCTTGTCATGACAGGTGAGATTTGAAATCGTTTCGAATGCTTGAATGAATTAATTATAAAAGTATCCAGATACATTTTTGTAAAAATAGATTTCAAAGCAAAAAATCAAAAGTAAATCAAGTGAAATTGATTTGTTTTCTTGTTGAGAATTTTATAAATCGCGAGACAGACAAATACATAAAGACATGCTATTCTCGATGAGTTCAACTTTCACCGTCTCGGAACCAGTTTTCTCTGCCGTCATTATCTGATAGCATGCGGATTCTCTGGCATGCTATGAATTATTGCAATAAGCATGTTTAAAGATCATGTCAATTGTTAATATACGAGTACTTCTGACTTGTATGTTTCTCATCATTTCACAATTATGTTATTTTTTTTTTCTATAAAATTCTTGCATATCTTAGCAGGTGTATCTTATTATAGATCCGGATGTACCAAGGAGGGGAGGATACAACCGAGAGTTCCGACACTGGCTCGTGGGAAATATACCAGAAGAGAACATAGCTAAAGGTGAGATCCTGGCGGAATATGTCGGTCCTGCGCCGCCAAAAAACACTGGAAAACATCGTTACGTATTTCTCATTTATAAGCAAAATCAGGGCGCTATTACCTTCGATGAAAGAAGACTGAGCACTTGGTGAGCAAACGCATTGACGGCGCAGCATATATCGTAAAATCCGATAGTTGATAACACGTTTTATCTCACTTGCTTACAGGGATGGAAGTCAACGAAAGAGGTTCTCCATAAAGAAGTTTGCAGAAAAGTATAACTTGGAGGGCCCGATTGCTGGTAACTTTATGGTGGCGGAATACGACGACAATGTGCCTGCTTATCATAAACGTTTGAATCTTTAATTAAACGGTATTTAATTAATTTCTAAATGTTTTCATATCCCTAAATATAAATATATATTCATATTATAATCATTTTAAATCTTGCGTTATGCATATATATAAAATTTAATAGAATTATATTACATAAAGTGTCTAAAGTCGTAAATTTTGTGCTATTATTAAATACAAGTAAATTGTAAATAAAATTATATAATGGCTAATTGATATCTAATTTTTAAGAAACCTTTGACAAATATAGTTATATTTTTATGCAAAAAAATAATTAGCAATAAATTGCGACAGAAATAAGTGAATTACTTACCAGCAGATGAAGATCATTTTCAAGAAGTTCTATTCATTTTCATTGCTTTTGTTTATTGTTATAAATATAAAAGGTACATGAGACATTCATTACGTTCGTATCCCCGAGGTCGTTACATGACGTTAATGCGCCTTTGAGGGCGTATCACTAGTAATATATGTGAAATCCTTAATTTTACAAATCTTATTCCCTACAATCGATTATTAAATACCTGCAATTTTAGTGTTATGTTATACACGTTGACTAGAATATAATGAGCGCAATTCGTAATCAAAATTACGAATTTGATAAATTCGCCGCCTGGCGTAATATCTTAAAGAGCAAAAGCTAACAATATAAGTCGGGAAGCAGAAAGTTATTTCCATTACGAAATTACAGAAGTACAAGGTGCAGCCTTTTTTCCTTTATATATCGCTTATAGGGCGACATGGAAATTAAATACGCGTACATGTTACCATTTCCACTGTCTCGTAGGCCTTTAGAATATCGATAATGTATGTTTCAATCTAATCGAACATATAACACAACACTTCTCTCTCGTATGACTCTCGTGTAGTCCTCGAGAATACTCATCTTTCAAGCGAGTGTGCGTCACGTTGCTTCAAAATAAAATTGAAGAAACGCGATGTCTTATTACAAATGTTTTTATCACACTATATTTGTGGACAGCGCAATATTTAATATAAATAAATCTTCTCGTTAATATTATAATAACGCGCTTCAATCAAATATCCTTCTTTTGTGAAATATCTCACTTATTCGTTTGCAGCTGCATAGCTTATGGTGTCTCATTATTTTAGATCAGTGCAACGAGCATAAATAATTCACCAGATCGGCAAACTAAGTATACCAAAAAAGAATTGCACTTTTTTTTCAGCACCAATTTGAGCTCACTATCGAGATGTTTTCTCTCTGTATGTGCAATTGTTACGTCTTGTCTCGAAGAAACGTTTATAAATATTCCTACTTGCGTAAGAAATTTTCTGTTCGTGGCAGTGACAGCGGTCTTACAATCGCCTTTGATCGTGTCTGGCAACGACGATAATGCGTTCAGCACAATTCAAAATTGATTCGTTTACAACGACGGAACTTTCCTTATAGTCTCTGCATTATCCTACTGGACATCCTTAAACATTCCATTAGAATCCATAGAATGGTATCGTCGAATATATCTTTGGATTATCATGACAGAATTGCTGTAATAGAACTGATTATTCAGTAATTGACAATTCGTATCACGATCAACTATGTTCGAACCAATCATTATCAACATCAAAGTTTATAGTTTTCAAGGCAAGTCCAAATCTGGATATATGGTCATGTTCCAACAAAGCTGATGATCTCGAACGTCTCCCCATCCGCCGTTACCCTTGCGGAGTTTCGTCTTCTTTGCCGTTCCGGCGATTGTTAACGTTAGTTGCGAAGGGAATAGATGATTACGCGCCGCATTCAAAACGTTTTGGACCTTCGCTATCACCGCCGTCGATTCACAGTTATTCTTCTTATGATGCACTCCACTGTAAAAGTAAACATCAAATTTAGAATCGAATTGTGCCATCAAATGGAAAGCACTTCTTAACATTGCATTAACGCTCAATGATAAAAAGGAGAAACGTGAAGGATATGTCATAGAATGAAAGTTCAATTCTCATTTATAGGAAATAAGCGAAGAGCTGATACTCGCCATTCTCCGATATGGAAGACTCTCGGAGCTCTCATTGTCATTGTGATCAATCCGGATTCAGCGCGAGGCGCTATTCCGGCACCCCGACTGGACGGTACGCATGTTTGCGCGATATACTGAAGACTCCAGTCCCAGTTGTAATCGTCGTAGGAACAAAACTGTGCCGCGCATTTCCGTAGTTTGTTCCATGTGATACGATTGAACGCCATGCCCATATTGTGCTTGCTAGATATCCACGGAGTAACTTCCGCCTGTTTCAATAAGAACGAAGATCATTATTATCAAGTATTGTGTGTTGTAAAATTTTCGCAATATCTTTTTGTCACGTAAAATCTACTGAGGGAAATCTAATTCAAACTATGTATCTACAACTAAAGCGAACAATTGAGACAAAGTCAGAATTTTAGTCGTAAATATCTCCTACTGTATTCTAACAGACTGAATGGAAGGATCCAGGAACTGCTATTTATTCTTGCCAAAGACACAACTTATGACTTCAGTCGTGCGTATGAAGGTACTTTGTACGCTCACAGTAACAACCGGACCGATTGTATTATGACTTTGTATCGTGCATGTGATGGTAATAGATGCTCGGAACATGCACTACTGTCTGGAGGAAATGGAAATTCATCTACAGAGGCGTTCCACCTACTGCATTTGGCATGGATAGAATATGCTAATATTGAATGTTAAATTGATAAGTTCACGGAGTTCGTATAAAATTTACTATTTTTTTTTTACAGAATAAAGAGCGCGTTTTCCCCCGTTTCTCTAATTCAATGAGAAGCAGCCGGAGCCACCAATCGATCGCCATGCAATGCGTCCTTTGCTGGCTGGATCGATGCGAGCCGGTGGAAACGAGTCGTGCAAAATATGACAAAAGTTTACCGAAGGGGATGGAGGACTACTTGCATTTTCCTAATACGGCGGAAGGCGAAGCAAAAGAAAGAAAAAGGAGAGAGATGGTGCGAGGTCAGGCAAATAGAAAGAATCAAAGTATGACGATAGGCGGTTTGCTGCTATTCAGAGATTCGGACGGGATTCGGTGGATTCGGAGAACCTTCTGATAGTGGTTGTAGAGACTGGGCAGGAGTTGAAAGGCCCACCCGGGCGCCGCTTGCATCGTGTTCGCGTTCTGATAGTAGGTAGATGACACACCGCCAACGCCGATGCCTCTGACGCCGCCACCGGTACTCCCGTTACCGATAACGGCGGCGTTACCACCGACGTTATTAACGCCGTCGCCACCACCGCCGGTGACGGTGACAATGCCGCCGAACCCGTTGCCGATTTGCTGCCTCTGCACCATCGCCGCTTCTTGTCGCTTTAATCCACGCAGCAACTCCTTCTGCAGAGCGTTATCGACGCCGAGGAACTAACGGGTCGGGCGTGCGTGAAACATCGACACAGACATACTAATGGTGAACATATGATAACGTCGGATACGCTTAACGTCGTAAACGTGCAACGATGCGCAATGACACGATATTTCCGCCTTTGAGATTTTTGCGTGTCGAATCACAGAGAGAAATGAAAAATACGCTGTGTGTGAGAGAAATAAAATTATCTTGTTTGTAAGCGAGGGATCGCGTTTCATTAGGATATGATAACGCACGCGCTAATTTTGCCAGATACTGTCACGCTACAAGCGCCAGCAACGATGTACTCGTGCGCCAGTGAGAAAATCGCCGTTGTTGTATATGCCTAATTATGAGTGAGGAAATGGATGCGTGTGAGCCGCTAAAGAAACGTCAGATCGTCTACGCATTGTCGATCGCCTCATTAAATGTGCCTCATTAACGTACATTACCCGCCCGATATATTTGTATACGTTTTCAATTTATGCATGAAACATCGCGCAAAGCAAAATTACCAATGTAACGAATACGCCAAAAATATGGACGAGTCCTCACCTTACGACTAAAATCCGTAAAATAGTTGTACGTCTTTAAATATGTACCCAACGATAGAACGTTACACCTCTCGCAACTGAGCTTACAAGTGCGCTCCATCAGTCTAAGCACGTGTAAGAAATCTTCGGCGACGTAATGGTCCTCCTCGAGGAAGAGGACCATCCCGGTGTGGTTTCTTGTTATTGACAGTTGATCGAACACCCTGTTCGCTTTCCACCACCAGTGATGCTTGGTCTGCGTAAACTTCGCCTCCCTGTAGTGACCGTACAAGTCCGGGTGTTTGGCATTGGTGCATTTTAAATTTAAGGCTCTGCAAAAGAGAAATCAAAATTCGACTGAATTTGACAAATTCGGGGGAGGTTGTTCGATAGATTACAAACGACGTTAAGATAATTTACTGTTCTTTGCGAATGTTTCGTGGACAGTCGTTGGGTCCTTCGCCAGGAAACGTATGGGGATGAGTCTGGATGCTGTGCGGATAAAAGATCTGCATGACCCTGCAAAAGTCGACGCTCTGCACGAGATAGTTGATATCTGGGTGCCAAACGTCGTGGCTAAATACGAGAAGAGCCTGCTCGATGTCCTTAGCTTGCGCAAGTGAAACGATAAGGTGCCGCAGATAAGTGAGCCGCGTGTGCACTTGGATGACTATAATTGGAGCGTCGTTGGCCAACGGTCCGAACGCCTCCTCATTGTACACTCTTTGCTCCGCATTTGCCCGCGCGATTTTATGACGGATTTCCACGATCTCCAACTCGGTAAGCGCTCCCGAGCTAGAATTCACCAAATTTGTGGACGAGTTACGTCCCTCTTTTAAAAATCTGAAAATATAGAAGGCAAAACATTGGCGAAAGATGAAGTAATTATCGAGTGATCATTAACGTTATTTTATCGGTAAAAAACTTTCTCTTAAAAAAGTTCATTCTCCATAATTAAAAACTTTCCTCTAAAAAGGATAGTTTATGAAAATATCTCTCGAGGAAAACAGATTTACTTAATTTAATTCTTAAAGAGGAGATGATATTAAATATTTATGAAACTTTTTTTTTTAAGATAAATTATATATATATCTTATACTTCACGTCCTATTTGTTTTCAATTAAACGCGTACGAGACATGTTAATAACAATATTAATA